TAACGAAATTGGTGCATGATCTCCAGTGTCAATGAAGTGTTGCGCATTTGGTGTTGGCTCACATGATGTCCCAAACACGTCCGAATGCATTTGCAAAACTTTATCGAGTTGCATCTTCTCAGGTATTTTAAGCTCTGTACTTTCCGTTTCCTTAATAAACTGGAAATCGATTGAAAACAAATCTATCGACTTGTAGTTGTAAACAACACCTTTAAATAAACCAGAATCTCTGCATCGTTCAGGTGTGACCATTTCTGGAGGGATAGCGTGGCGAAATATGTCTTGGATAGTGTGCGGAGAGTAATCATTTGGTACGTCCGGTCCATAATACTCAAAGTCGGACATATACACTTTCGATGTGTCGATCTCTTGCTTCCTCCTCCGGTTTGCGCATTTGGTGTGTCGTACATACTTTGACTCTTTCTACAAGATTTAACTCTACTGGCAGCGGGTCAGCAAAATCGAAATGGGTAGTTGGATTTGTTTCAAAATACCAGTAACGCAGGCCCATGTTCATGACAATTCCAGCTTGTTCCATGAAATCAGCGCCTATCAGAGTTCGGTTACCAGTAGCTTTCGGTAAAATAATAAATTGGATGTTTAAACATCGCCCACCGATAACAATTTTGCAGAGAGTAGAAAGGCAAGTCTGCAGCGACGAGCTGCCGTCGGCGAGTGTAACACCACACTTTACATTTTCATATACGTAACCCTTGGAGTCCATGATACGCTTCAAATTTGTGCTAGCCACACTCGTTCGAGCTCCCGAATCGAAATACGCTTGGCCAGGTACTCCGAAAAGTTGCACACTTGCAATCGGAATGTCCCGACCGATAGAAGTGGACAAGGAATTGAAATGGACTACATCAGACATTGTTGTTGGTTTTTGTCTACAATTAAGGCAGTTGGCACGCGTCACCCGTAGCAAGCAAACTTCGGTTTCAGAGCTACTGCTTGTGCTATATTCGCAACGTGCGCTTCTTTGGCCTCTTCGTTTTTCTTTTTGAAATATACATCCATGCTATGACCTTTCTTACGACAGTACCCGCAGCGCGCTTGGGCACTTACACTACTATGCTGACCATCATTTGCAGCATTCTGCTTGCGTTCTTGCCAAAACAGCTCGGCTTCACGAGCTTCGTTTAGCAGCTCTTCAAAATTAGAGATCTTCGGACGGTTCACCCTATCTCGGATTTGCACATGCAACAACCCAAACAAAATGTCTATTTGGTCAGCTTCGGCTGGCACATTAGTTAATTGGGAGAAAAGTGCGGGTTTCTTCCTAATAAAAGTGTCCGTCGACTCATTTTTTTGCTGTTTATTCTCAAAAATTTCAACATATATGCGCCAAGATGGCCTTGGAGGGGAAAATGCTTCACGTAGCATGCATACAATATCATCAAAAGTTTTGGCTTTTGATTTTACCCCGCGCCACCATTCTTCTGCATCACCCTCAAGGATCATAGGCATACCGCTAATCGCATCTGCATCGTTTATTTTCTCTACTGACTTAAATGTAGAAATTGCAGCAGTGAATTCCTCTACTTTTGTGCAACTACGCTCGCCACTAAAACGAGCAGAACAATTACTGAACGAGCCAGGTCGTGAGTTGGAGTTATTGACGGCTTGCAAAAGCCTCTCAAACTGTTCATTCGTTAAAGTCGTCATGTTATTAGAATGATTTTTTGCAATACGTTCGCTTCGGCGAATCGGAGTGGGAGAGTCACTCGAGAGGTTGGCCACGATTTTACGCGACAATGTTAAATCGTTTGCCACTCAAAATTTGGCAACGCAGTTGGGCGCCAATGTAATAATTTGTGTTTGTAAAATTTATTAGGAAAAAGTTGTCAGGGATCTTGCGTAGGTAATTAACCTAAAAATAATTAAATAATAGCAAAAGTTCATATTATTCAACTATAAGCATTGCAGTTCACCACTTAGAGACCAGCTTTGCGCTGTTCACCTAAAACACCGCATCTACAAAACAAAGTACAGTTCAAGTGACCAGTTTTGCACTGTTCGCCTTGTTCCATACAACAACACTACCTGAAATCTTTGCTATAGCCCAAGTGACCAGCTTTGCGCTGTCGCCTTGTACTTGTAACAAAGAATACTACACTACAACATACAATGTACATACCTCTCGAGTGCGCAGCTCACGACAAAGTAAGTATAGCACTCTGAGGATCGCGCTTTTATAGGCTGACATTCCCGCTGGAATGACAGCTTTAACAATAGAAAACCTATGTGTTGCCAACTTTTGAATTTCAAAAAGTACCAAACCTTGGAAAAAAGAGCGTTTTACCGTACTAAAAGCACTAAATTTTTTTTTAATCAAAGGATTCTATTTTTTCATAACAGTTTGTGGTAAACAAAAGGAAAAAAATAAACACTATTTACATGTATAAATAAATACCAGAGAGCTGCATGGATACACTCAAATTACATTTTAAGTCACTCGCTTTCTTTTCACATCTGCACACACTCGCACTAATTTATTTCCAAACATAACGTGCGATATCATTGAAAAAACATTGTCGGTTGAGTGAGTAATTCACACTATCAAGAGCTCGATTCAAAGAACAAGTTCTTGATTTGAAAAACAAGTGCATGGCATAACTGCTGTAATGAAAGTATCAAAGAAAAAACATTTGTAAAGACAATTTTTGTTAATTTTATTGGTTTCCTAACTGCATATTATAATGCAAAAATATCAACTGATTAAGGGCATCATCATTTGACAAAAGGTGGCATCTTTTGTCAGAAATAACATTTCCAGCAGAAGAAAAAACTCTTTCTGACGATGCGCTAGTTGAAGGAGTGGCTATTACTCTACGACTGAGTTTATGCAGCAGCGGCATTTCGCATTTGTGTACCTCCCACCAATTAATTATATCGAAGTCCGTATGAAAATATACCTCAATATTTTCATATCGCCGCAGCTCTGCAGTAGCTTTATATGTTCTGCTCACAAAGGTAGGTTGTTTAAGAAGACCTGAAAACAGCTCAAGTTGTCTGAAGGTAACAAAGGTGTATCCGCAATTTGTGGTTCCGTTGTACTGTCAGAATTCTCAGTTAACGTTCTTTGTAAACATTTCTCTTTTGTGTACCTTTGCTCAGATTCGGTAAAGTTCTTGAGCTCCTTTGCTGGCGGGTATAAAAAAAGCACAATCTGTTAGTTTTCAATAGCAACTATTTTTAAATAATAAAGCAACTTATTTTTCAAGTCCCTTATAAAGCCGATGTCTTCTGAGGTAACATTGCATTTATTTTGTAGACTAATTATATAAATGTACGTCAGGTGCATAACTAAATAATTTAGTAAAACTAATATATTTAAAAAAATACTTCATCAATATCCACTTTTTTCAAAATTGTCGTATTCTCTACTAATTGTTTGAAGTCATTGGGTGTCATTCGATGGCTCGACTTGCTTTTCATAACAGCATTTTTCACTCGCTTGCCATATTTGAAATCAAATGAGTACACTGCAGCTAAAAATTGATTTCAAAACTAACTATGAATCTCACTGTTTGTACGGTGTTTCTCACTAACCTTATAGAGTTCACAGCAATGAGTTGATACTGTTTAGATGGAAGTGAGTAAACTCATGCTGTTGTCTGATAAATACCCATTCATGAAGTACTGCACGTTAAAACTGGTACATCTGGAGAAAAAACAATCGAATCGCAACAAACGAAATTAAATTTTAAAGGGGAAGAGTAATACTTAATGATACCCTAAGTAGAAATGAGCGAAAATAATTGTTGTTTTATAATATAACTCCAAATATTGCGAAAAACCGTGTTTTTACACTTATAGGTTAGGATATCTCAAAATTCTGACATGGTAAAGAAATTCTGCAGCCAGTTTTGGATTCAGCACCGAAAAATCTACAAAAACCGATGCACTCAGGTGGCAAAAAGAGACAAAATTTTTCGAACTGTGTAATCAAGAAAATAAAGAAATAAATACTTAACTTATATACGTGCTAGCATTTTCAACGCGAATACAATTTTACAAGAACACAAGAACGTGGGTTTGCAATTTCATCTTTTTATTAATCATGGTTTGCATTTTAGTGCATTAAATTTGTAGATTCTTGCAAATTCAGAAATTTTAGTTAAAAAAAGCACTAAAAAGGGCATTAGTCACTAAACCATTTTGTGTATAAAATGATTGCTTACAAACAGTGTGACCAGATAACACAAATCTTCTCTTACAAATATAATGTTGCCATACATACAAAACACTTAATCTGACGTAATTCTGCTACAGTGCGTAATAAATTTTGTTTGAAAAATTTTTAAATACGAACATTTTTAAACGATAATCAAATATAAAGTATTCATTTTTACTATGCATTATTTCCCTCAGTGTAGATTCGCTTTTTTAAAAATCACGTTCCGTTACAACTGTTCTTTTGAACAAAAACGTATATGGCGAGCTTCGCCAAAAAAA